TTTTATAGACCAATAAGCGTGATTTACATGTTATGAAACTCAATGGATTTAAACTCACTTCTTATGCAGATTATAGATAGACGAGAACGAATAAAAGAAGAGGCTTATCATAAAATAACAACAACAACCTAGATACAATTCGATTTAGGTAGAATTGAGAAAAATAATATAAAAACATGTTTAAATTTATTCTGAAGTCCTTTTTTTTGTTCGTACATAAATATAAAGTTTAGATTACTCGAGCGGTTAGTTAGTTCTATTATTAAAAATGATAACAAATATTGGGAAAAAATACCGATTAAATCTTTCTTCACTTGTATGGTTTATGTGTAATATCTGACCTTAAATTAAACAAAAAATTTGACATGGTCGCTTGATTATTTACTTTTGCAGTATATTAGAATCAGCGCAACGTCGGAAGATTAAGATCGTCACAACATAACTTTAAAACAGACATCAAATTAGAACAAAAATAAATCAATTTTAGCTCTTTGTGTTTCAATTCGACGTTGTGTTTTTTTTTAATTACATGGTTAACACTTATTAAATGCAACACATTTTCGCTACCTCTTCAAAAGACAATGTTCAAGAAACATGGGCTTTTTTTTTTCAGAATCGGGTGTCACCTAGAGGTAAGCTTACCGGGCAGTGTATTTAGAGGTCCAAGGTTCGTGTCCCGCGAAACAGTATCCATACGTTCAGTTGTGGGTACGTTATAAGTATGACAGTCAAAGCCGGATAAAAACGCTCGTCACTGTGGATTTTGCTGACTAGCTGCATTCTTTGTTTCCAGTAATTCAAAATTAGAGACGGCTGTAACCGCATCTGGTCTGGCCGTTTAGCTCCTGGCACGTAATGCGCTGTTCAAGTTGTAAATACCAATATCAGGTCTTTCTATATCATTTAAGTTTGCTTGGGTGAAGAATACCAAGTTTTGTACACACACACACTCGTATATATAATAGTTTTTTGTAATATTGTGATGGGTGAAAAAAAGAAAAGAAACAAAGTATAACGTCTATCGCACGTGAATTATGTAATTATGAAAATTACTTCGATATGCTACGATATTTCTGTAGACTTCTACGTGTTTTTTTTTTTATAAGTAATATTAAAGTATCAGCATGATTACTGTTTATAACTATTTTTTACCCAATACTTTGCTGGGCAATGAGTATAAATGCAGATAAGATGACGCTTCTCTTTAGCTGTAGATTTAATTAACCCTGACACATCGTAAAAAAAACTCATCACATTTTATGAAGTGTGATATTGCTTTTCTCTTAATATCCGCACCAAGTGTTCGTACTTTGGCTGGTTGCTAGTAGTGAGTGCGCGCGTGTGCACTAAGGATTAGCGATGTCCCACTTTCGTCAAAATCCACTCAACCACCGATATTTGTAGGCTGTACCAAAACCAGGATGAGTTTCTAGGGAGCGTCATTTCAGTGGTTTTGAAGGGGTTTATTAATAACTCGGACTCGAAGATCGGTGCGTGGTGTACGGAAAAGTGAGCCTGCGTTCCTCGAGCATTTAATCAAACATATTAAACTCAAGTCTTTTTTTTTTTTTTATAATTTTTAATGTTGGGGGGG